TTGCAGCACAGGCCCAGTCCTAGCTAACTAGAAATTACCAAGCAAACATACTGAAAAATTGTGTTAACGCCAAATGCAGATTCTGTGTTGAATATCCAGAAACAATTGACCAACTTGTATCAGGTTGTACGGTATTAGCATCCACCGAATAGAAACTCAGCATAACAGAGTGGGCCAATATCTGCATTGGAAAAATATGCAACTTTTACGGGAAAGAAACTACAAGAAATTGGTATGAACATCACCCAGACTCTGTTACAGGCAGGACTTTATAATATACGCATTCGGAACAATTAAATCTATTCGCCTAGACATCGTGATCAAAGACCACAGAAACAGAATGTGCTTTCTTATAAACATGGCAGGGCCTGCAGATTTTAATGTATCTTTGAAGATCTTCAAATCTATCAAAATTCAAAGCTCTTGAAGTGGAAATCTAAAAAAAAATATGTGACGCATGAAGATATCCATAATTCCATTTGTGGTCGGAGCCATCAGACTGATTGGAAAAGCTTCAGATGGACTTATTGAAGGGATTCCTGGTAGCCCATGCGTTAATGAAATACAAAAGAGTATAGCTCATCCCTTACGAAAGGCTTTATCTATGTAGAATGTGTTTGATCTTAAGCAGTTTCATTTTTATTATTACAAAACATTTTCAGTAAAAAATGTTATGATGCCATTTCTGATCTTAGGTCCCTGGTTAGGACACGGAAGGAAATGTGTATACAACATAATTCAAAGGAAATAATAATAATAATAATAATAATAATAATAATGATAATAATAATAATAATAATAATAAAATTAAATCGTTACTGCGTAAAGCTTCCTTGAATGATAGCTATTTTACCTAATCTACATTGTTGACTAGTCTAAATCTTACAGCTGGAGGATTTAAAATTTTAGGTAACCCATTTCTAATTAAGTTGAATAGTTTCAGTATCTTAGCTTAGTAAGAGTTAATTAAACCAAATAAGTTGTGAAACTTACTAATTATTCAATCTGGAGAGTTGCCCAAATCTTTGGACCTATAGTGTACATTTCATTAACTGGGCTAACAGTTAAGTCCTTAATTGAATTAGTAAAAAAAAAAAAAAGGCTTAGAATACCACAGGTGAGAGTTGAACTAAACTGGGGTTAGTGATGGACGCGGCTGGGCGAGTCGGGCCCTCCTGACAATATGTCACAGATTCTCGTCATGTCTGATATAGCCGCCTTCGTACTTGTTATAGTTCTAAGCAATAATTGTCTCCTTACTCTGCCCCCAGTTTCTGTTCTGTCATCCATTTATATTTTATACAAACTCGTCAGGAAGTTTATTGGCCTTTTTTCTGCACTAGATCCCGGGAACCGATGAAATCAGTCGTAACTGATCTATCCAAGCTTGACAACCATTACACCACGTCGAAGTGCCCCCCAAATATCAGATATGATTTACTAAGTGTTTCTTTGATGGGACACAAGACCGAACATGTGGAGCACCCAGTGAGGACCGAACTCACTACTCAGTTGTAATTGATCTAGCAGGACAAGCTTGCTAAACATTATACCACGTTGAAGTGTCCCAAAAAGCTTAGACGTGGAACAAGGCTGAAAGTGTGGAGCACCCAGTGTTTGAAGGGATTAATAAGATCCGTAAAAGAAAAAAAAATTGTCGTCAATCGGAAAGAGGTCACATGATGTAGCTGCTTGTGTTAGGGTTTCGTAAGCTGATTAGTTCAATTCCCGTAGTTATTTGCCAAAATATCCGATGGGATGTTGTCACAGAGAAGAACTAGTCTTTTTTTTTTTACCAATATCGGTCAAAAAAAAATTGCAGTTATTGTTGCTTTGTTCGATTTTGTCGCAATACATTTCCGTAATGATTTTGTCTCTTGTAATCGTCTTAAAAACATTCGTGACTTCTAACAAAAACATGGTTAATGATAACCTACAGGAGATAGACTCATTGCGCCTATTCGGTCAAGTATTTTCCATTGACACGGATTGCAACGATTATATTAATTTAATTGCCAGGTCTGCTGTTAGGAAAGTTTGTTCACTGTCCTGCCAGATGATTTTCTAGACAGAATTATGTGGCTTTATGTGTTTATCTTTCGTCCATACATTGAATACTGCTGTCACATCTAGTCTGGTTATCGCTTATGTATCGAGCGATTCTTGATTAAATCCAAATGAAAATCTGCAATGGTAGCGATCCTAATCTAGCATCTCGGTTTCAATCACATACCTACCACCGTAGCGTACATTCCTTGTGCTTTTTTATAGATATTTTCATGGTGATTCTTCAGTTGAACTTCCCTCTTTGTTACCTCGAATTTAAGCGCAGTACTAGATTGGCAGCTAGGTCTCACCAGCTTCTAGTGTTCTGGCAACTACGATCAACATCAGTACTCATCTCTGTGCTCTTGAATTCTTTTCTTGTTACTGACCTCTCTCCTAATTAAAGTTTTCTAAGTTCTAATAAAACCAGAATATATTAATAATTTATAATGAAAGATTATGAGCAAGAGCTCTAATATAGTCCAGAAGATCTGGTCGGTTTTCACGATCGTTAACTATATTTTAAGCCTTTCATCGCAATAAAACACTTTTTCTTTTTTTGGACAAGACTCTCCCCGGAGAAGGAGTTAATATTCGTTTTTTTTTACGTGCTGCTACTCTTTTTGAAACTCTCCAATAATGCGATAAACACTGACATGAACAATCCCTACTAAATTTTCCCATCACCTATGCCATATTCTGGTTTTATATTTTTTTCATGAATTTTGAGTGTTTCAAATATATAAACACTATTTAAACGCTATTGTGCAAATGTCAAAAAATAAAAGTATTTCCATTTTTTTTTTCAATTTCCCTCAAAGACTATTATGCACTATTCTGATCTTTCGAGATTTTATAAATTCGAGATTTCAAATTTCGGGATTTTAAATTTCGGCATTTTCAAATTTCGGCATTTCAAATTTCGGCATTTCAAATTTCGGGATTTCAAATTTCGGGATTTTAAATTTCGGGATTTCGACGTACCGGGTTTTAACCCTAGAACACTAACCATGGGTACCCATAGTACCCAGCGCAAATTTTCCTATTTTTAATTACAATTTTCAGTACCTGATTTTCTTACCTAAATAATATGTTTTTCATTTCCTATTAATGTTAAGTCAAAGTACAAAGTTTGAAAAGTTTACATTTAATATTTTTTTTTTGTTGATATTTTCAAAATCGGGTATGATATACCCATGGTTAGTAATGGTGTAACTTTAATTGATGGTTAGTGTTCTAGGATTAAGATTCGGGATTATGGTTGGCACCCGGTGGGAATAACTTGTTTGATATCACCGATTATTTACAAACACTTAAATTAACGCCTACAATCCTAGATTATCGAAAATCTCCTAAAAGAAAATGAGCTATTTTTCGTCACATGTCACAATGTGATCAAGAATTTGATAGAATAGCATAAAAAAGCGTTGAAAAGATTACGTAACGGTGAATTAATTTTAATTTCTGCTCTTGTGTGGGCAATGCCTATTTACTGAGTTTTTCTCATTTTCTAATTTGAGGCGAAACAAGTTAAATCGACAACGTTCTACAATCTCTCGAGTTCTTTTGTATGAAGTCCACTAAATAATGATCCTCAATTAGTTTACAGTCAATCGCCGCTCAGTTTTTGATAACCACCTCATCAATGTTCTCGCCTCCGTTACGATAATTTTTGGAACCAATTTTGAACTTTATATTCAATGATGGTCTTCTGGTCAAATGTTTAGTTGATCTTGCGAACAGGTTTGTCTGCTTTCAGTCTCATTTTAAATTCTCGCAATAAAAACACCATATTTTTTTGTTTTATCGCAATAAAAAAAGCATTTAAAACAAAACTATTGGCAAGAAATTCTCAATTTCAAATAGTTTATTACACATTAATGTTAATGAGCTAATAGAAGCCGTTTCCTTAAAAGCAAACATTCGACCTTCATTGATCGAGTAGTCAGTCCCACTTTCCGTTGAAATTTATAAAATCTTTCTCTTAAAACTATTTTTCAGGAAAATAGGTTTTTCATATCCCCTAACTGTTATTTCTCTTTTCAGGGTCTTCTTCCCTATCTTTTTGGTGTGAAATATTATGAAGCATCAACCTCTTCATTATGTGATTATTTTCTCTTTGATTTAAAAATGCTGTCCATTTTAATTGTTGATGCTGTTGAAAGAGTTAAAGTGATAGGGTTTCTATTATCTGGTACACTTCATTGTGATTCTGTAGCGCCAGTCCACGAGGTTTGAAGAAGGATGTTCTCCTCGAAGACCTACAAACTTCATTCATTAGAAACGATTTTTAACCATTAATCTGAGAAAGCACTTGTATACAGCTAGCAGTTTAGATATTTTTGAATGAATTTGGCTCCATGCATGACATCAATATAAAAATCTTGATCTGACGAGGCTATTTAAGAATATGACGCCAGCAGAGTTAAATAGCTATATTTAAAAATAAAGATCAAATTTTAAAATAAAACCGCAAATATCCTGCACTAATCTTATAATATTCCCAACGATGTAAATGGTTCACTTTTATGTTGATTAGCAACATTTCATTGGCTTTCTTGAATACCATCCCTCCCACCATCTATCCGTTTCTTTTTCTTCTTCTTTATTGGCTTTCTTGAATACCACCCCTCCCTCCATCTCTCCGTTTCTTCTTCTTCTTCATTTGCTTTCTTGAATAGACTGCGATTTATATTTTTAGACGCAAATCGTTCTTCAAAGGTGAATTGGCGAAAATGTCCAGATCGACATTACGATTAAAAGATTTGCGCATGCGTCGCTGTTGATAACGGGCGTTGCTTGATCTGTGAGATGACGCATGCGCAAAAGAGGCCAAGAAAGTGTGAACGACGCGTACTGAAGATGCCAACAATGGCATGTGGAGAGCCAAGCGAGTTTCTTGTATATTTTCTTTGTTTCGATTAGTAAATGGGAAAACATGGACACTCGTTTACTTAGAACATGGATGGAGGTTGGATCAAGTTTAAGAGAGTGCCGACGGCTGTGAAGGATGAAAAGGAAAAGAATACACAACGATTAGAGAAAAGAAAAAAAAAGAGGAAGAAAAATAAATAAATAAATAAATAAATAAAGAAGAAAAGGAAGAAAAAAGGAAGAAAGAACGGGAAATATAAGAAAAGAAAACAAAGAAAATTTAGAAGAACAAGAAAGAAAAGAAAAGATAGCAACAAAGAAAGAAAGAAACAAGGAAAGGAAAGAAAAGAAAAGAAAAGAAATGGAATGATAGAAATAAAAGACAGAAACATAGGAGACAAAAAGGAAGAAAATCGATAGAAAAACGAAGACAGAACAAGCAAAAGAAAAAAAATTAAAAAGAAAAGAAGAAAGAAAATAAATAGAAAGATAGAAAAGAGGAGAAAGAAAGAAAGAAAGAAAGAAAGAAAGAAAAGAAAGAAAGAAAGAAAGAAAGAAAGAAAGACGGGAAAAAGAAAGAAAAACGATAAAGGAAAAACGAAAAAGAACAAGCAAAAAAGAAATCTGAAAAGTAAAGAAGAAAGAAAAAAGTAAGAAAGAAAAAGAAAATTAATGGAAATATAGAGACGAGAAGAAAGAAAGTAGTGAAAAAGAAAGAAAAACGATAAAGGAAAAAACGAGAAAAGAACAAGCAAATGAAAAAACTAAAAAGAAAAGAAGAAAGAAAAGAAAAGAAAGAAATAAAAAAATTAAGTAAAGTACAAAGAACAGAGTTAAAGAGAGAAAGAAAAAAGTAAGAAAGAAAGAACGAAAGAAAGAAATTGATTGAAATAAGTGTAGAAAACAATAATAGTGTTGACTGTGAAAGAAAGAGAGAAAGAAATGAAAAACAACAAAAAAAAAAACAGGAATAGGCGATGAAATCACGTGATAAGAAGAAGATACGCTTTCATGTAGTTGATTTAGTCTTGATTTTCTTGTTTCATTTATAGACTAAATACAAGACATCTTTGATTTGTGGAGTACCAATGTTTAGGTCGTTTAGTGTCGACTAATTTGGCTAAATATTGGGTTAGCGAGTTAGGATCAAACTAACTCACCCTCTATGCACCTTGTCCTTTCAGAATGTAAGCGATAATGGCTCTCTCCAATTTCCTATCTTTTAGTGAATGTCCCTGCCTTGAATAATTCATTACTCCTGTGAATAAACGAACCTCCCATCTTTGGAATACGGGGAAATGGTAATGATGCTGGACTTGTTTCGGATTGCATTTTACATCTGCTTGGCGATGGGACGTCAGTGTCAACGGCAAGGAGTTACTGTTTCTAAAGATGAGTCACTGTAAACTAGCGTAGGTGTTACGACCGCTAATGGTAACAAGTTTATTTGGATTGCAACTGAAAAATATTCTGGTTATTGAATCAACATAATATTCGTTCGGGGACGACACATAGAGGATGATGTCAGTGCTTGCGTGTGTTCCATGTACTTTCAGAGCGTGCATGATCATGGCTCTCTACAACTTCCTCTATTTTACTCTTCTCTGCGATAATTTCTATGAGCCACCAGGGTAAACATCTGTTTGATTAATGTTTACTGAGAAGCTGTAAGTATTCGACAATATGTTATCTGGGGTACTATCTCTCTTCGTATTGAATCCAGGTGAATGCGATAACTTGCTTTACAGTCCGGAATGACCAGATTTATTGATTGATTCGTTTTCTACGGCTTATCAACCCTATGCAGGTTATTTAAAGCCAGAAAATAATTTTAGATTGTAAGAATTTTTTTTCAGATAATAATGGCTTCGTGATAGAAGTTTTACTAATTAACCCATACCTTGGTAAGAAGAGGTGAATTCGTACTCTGAATTTTATAAACAAACAAGAAATTATCATGTGAATATAAAGTAGAAGATTAATTCTACATTACAAACAATATATAAACCGATCCTTCATTTTGTGGCTACAGTAATTTCTATACATTTATATTCCAGTTAATGTAAATAAATCTAAAAGACATGAGATAATGTGTATGCAAATTTTTTTTGGGGGGGTCAATTCTATATTATAATAATTATATAAACTGATCCCTCATTTTGTGGCCACAGTATTTTCTATACATTTATATTCCAGACTAGCAGTAGAGCCCGGCGTTGCCCAGGGATGTAACAGTAAGAGATAGATCAAGTATCGACCATCATAAAGACTGAAAAATAAAATTGACAAAGATTATTGTTTGAGGTTGACGGACACCCATGTCTTAATTAGTTTTATTTTTTATTTATTTTTTTTTTTTACGAATTGGTCAAACCCAAACTCAAACAAAAACATTGTTTTCAATCGTTATGAGTCTACCGATTGAATAGAATTTTATTATAAACAATTGTCTTGTAAATGGAATTTTAAAAGTGTGCAAGACAATAAGAAACACTACCTGCCAAAAAAAAATTGTTTTGTTGAAATCGGTTGAAAAATGTAGGAAATCCGACCCCATATATAAACGAACACACACACACACACAAACACAAACAACCAACCTGGGTTTTATAATAAGTATAACTCGACAACTCGATATTAATAAGTATAACTCGATATGATTTGACCGCCTTTATTAAAGCCTCTTAATCGTGTTTTCAAATTGATTTCGTACAAAAACAATTTTGTTTTTCCAATTTTTGGCGCTGTCAGAACTACCGCAAGGTAATTTTACGTAGTCCTGTGAAGTTTTGTTGAAATCGGTTGAAAAATGTAGGAAGTCCGATCCAATATATAAACGTACAGACACACACACAATCTGCGTTTTATAATAAGTAAGATAATGTAAATAAATCTAAAAGACTTCAGATAATAATGTGTATACAATGTGAGGGATCTATTCTATATTATAATAATTATATAAACTGATCCCTCATTTTATCGCCACGGTAGTTACTATACATTTATATTCCAGATAATGTAAATAAATCTAAAGGACACCCCCGTGTAGCTAATCACTATTTCATTGATTGATCGAGTCGTTTTCTACGGCTTTGCAGGTTATTAAAAGCCAAAATATATTTTTAAATTATAAGACTTTTTGGGAGATAATAGTGGTTTAGTGATACAATTCTTACTGATTAACCCATAGCTGAAGGGAGAAGAGGTGGATTCATATCTAATATGAATTTAATAAACAAACAAAAATTATCATGTATACATAAAGTGGAGGATCATTTGTATATTACTATCAGTATATAAACTGATCCCTCACTTTGTCGCTACAGTTATTTCTATACATCTATATTCCAGAGAACGGCTTATGGTCACATTGTGTTGAAACACCGGTTCCCGAATGATCACCAAAGTTAAGCAACACTGAGCCTGGTTAGTACCCATATTGGTGACCGCTTGGGAATACCAGGTGCTGGAATTGGAACTCGGCTCTCCGATTAACAATTCCGAGCCATCATCCATGACACCACCTGCACATTCAAGCTTACAGCACCTGGTATTCCAAACCGTCGACCAAGCACGACGTTGCTTAACTTCGTTGATCGTATACCAACGTGATGTGGCAGTAAGCTCGAATGACCTTAGATACTATTCTTGAAAGTATATATTGACGAATAAAATTTAAATGAATGCGAGTGGTGGTAAATAATGGCGGTGCATGCTACGATAGACTGTTGTTTCTTATATCCTGTTTGCCGGCAGGGGCGTCAGTGTTAGCGGCAATGAGATAGCATCTATAAAATCTAATCATTCAACATAGCACATTACTCATTGAGCCCTGTTACCAAGGAGGGACCGTGTGGAGATCAATATATATGCAACGTCTAACACCCGATCCCCAAACCCTTAAAAACCCGCCCACCACAAAAAACATCAAATGGATCAAGAGTAAGCTAACAGTGAAGATTTTTAAAATATAATTTCATTCCAAGGAAGGGGATAAAGCCACTAAGACTTAAGAGGTTACTGAGTGTTAAACTGAGAAATAGATACCAAGGAAAATGGACAATAAAAAGAAAAGGATTCAAGCTGACAAATGGTGACGGTTGGCGATTTATTTAAATTTTTGAAAATCATACTTATTATAAAACCCAGGTTGTGTGTGTGTGTGTGTGTGTGTGTGTGTGTGTGTGTGTGTGTACGTTTATATATTGGATCGGATTTCCTACATTTTTCAACCGATTTCAATAAAACTTCACAGGACTACGTAAAATTACCTTGCGGTGGTTCTGACAGCGCCAAAAATTGGAAAAACACAATTGTTTTTGCACGAAATCAATTTGAAAATACGATTAAGAGGCATCGAGATAATGAAAGGGGGACAACTCATATCGAGTTATACTTATTATAAAAACCCAGGTTGTTTGTGTGTATGTGCGTGTGTGTGTGTGTATGTGTGTGTGTGTGTTCGTTTATATATGGGATCGGATTTCCTACATTTTTCAACCGATTTCAACAAAACTTCACTTTTTTGGCAGGTAGTGTTTCTTATTGTCTTGCACACTTTTTTTCTTTATTTTTACATTCAGAATGCTTTAAAAAATCCATTTACATGACAATTGTTCATAATAAAATTTATTTTCTCAGCATTTAGACTCAGAACGATTGAAAACAATGTTTTTGTTTGAGTTTGAGTTTGACCAATTTGTAAAAAAAAAAACTAATTAAGACATGCGTGTCCGTCAACATCTTTGTCAATTTTATTTTTCGGTCTTTATGATGGTCGATACTTGATCTATCTCTTACTGTTACATCCCCGGGTAACGCCGGGCTCTACTGCTAGTCGTATTTAATTGGAAAGCAGGAAGCCGGAAGCTGTTGAGAATGCAGTGAGGAAGCATTTCTCGATATTTTCCAAGTAATCAAAGAAATTCACAAATAATGAAACGAACTCTGTGGAGGGCCGTAATCGCTTACGTTTTGAAAGGATACAGTAGAAATAAATAAATAAATAATAAATGTCTTATTTCAAACTAAACACATTTAACCATAAAAATATTCGAAGAAAATCAACGAATTAATGAAAAATCATACAAATATATGAAGATTAATATAGAATAAATAAATAGAAGATTACTCGGGACAGAGGTAAGTGTGAAAGAAAAAAAGAAAGAAAGAAAGAAAGAAAAAAGAAAGAAAGAAAGAAAAAAGAAAGAAATAAAAAAGAAAGAAAGAAAGAAAGAAAGAAAAAATAAAAAAATAAAAAAGAAAGAAAGAAAAAAAAAGAAAGAAAGAAAGAAAAAAGAAAGAAAGAAATAAAAAAGAAAGAAAGAAAAAAGAAAGAAAGAAATAAAAAATAAAGAAAGAAAGAAATAAAAAATAAAGAAAGAAATAAAAAAGAAAGAAAGAAAGAAAGAAAAAAGAAAGAAAGAAAGAAAGAAATGTGGCACCTTGCATTATTAGAAATATTCATAGAAATATGATTTAATTTTTTTTTACTCGGTTTATTAAACAGGTTGTTGATTTTTTTTTTTTAAACGGAAAATAATTGAGTTGAAAATAATTCACTAAAGTTGTACTTAGACGATCCTAAGGAAAGAAGAAGGAAGGGGAAAGAAAAGAGGAAGAAAGGAAAAAAAAGGAAAGAGAGATGGATGATGCATGACCCGGTCATAAGCGAAGATAGGTGTCAGAAAGATATCTTGGCCTGCGTGTTGGCCGAATTTTAAAAGACAATAGAGAATTGTTATTTGAAATGAAAAAATCATTTAGAGGGAGAAAAGAACCAGGCTTGATGACAGTGTATTGGGATTGATAAGAATATCGGTCAAAGCACCTAGCCTACTTTTGCGTGGAAAGATTCATTGTCAAATTGGAGAAAGGGGAATTTCTTTTTAGAAACGAAATTTTTTTAATCGGAGAAAAAGTGTCTTTTGGGTTGAGGGGAGTGACCGGTGGAACTGTATACAGATTCTGACCTATTAAGAATTGAAACCCACGATAATAAAGTGGGGACATTTTCAATGTAGATAATTAAGATTTTCTGACTGTCGGGTCTGACAAAAACAAGAGGTGAAAAAACGATTGTCTCAGCTCACAGATGGCGCCAATATTCTTTCCTGAAGTCACATCTAATTAGCGGCAGGCTGTTTTGACAGAGCCCAGGTGAGAAAAAGCCAAGATTGTCATTTTTTCGTACGTGCGAAAAGGGCAAAATTGGATTTTGTTTTTTTAAAACAAGAACGATGTAAACCACGCCCGAAAAGAGGAGAAAGGATGCTCGATCAATAACAATTGGTCGGAAACGGTCACGTGGCATACGGGAGAGAGGAGGAGAAATGCTCGATCAGGAATCATTGGTCGAGAGCGGTCACCTGACATACGAGGGACCGGGAAAGATGGGTGTGCGCCTCCCCACCAAAGGCACTGTGAGGAAGTAGGGGTGAAAACAATAGCGATAATGAGAAGACAGAAATAATGCGGCTATTGGAATTATCGAGAAACCCCTGACGCCGACAAACCCACCCCGGTTTGTTGCGGCGTCAATAAAAGCAGGACCCCAGTCGACAGAAATGAGTTGCAGCTGGACCGCGGGCAGGGATAGAGCCTGAACGCGGGCATCAGGCCCGATTCACTCGCCCCTTTGCGGGCAAGAGAATCCTCAGACAAGAAATCCTTCCACCCAAGTCGAAGACAGAAGTTCAGCCCCGGACGGCAGCGAGAAGAGTTCAGCCCCGAACGGCAGCGAGAAGAGTTCAGCCCCGGACGGCAGCGAGAAGAGATCACCTCGGACGACAGAGAGTAGCGGCTGAGTTGCGGCAAGAAATCCTTCCACCCAAGTCGAAACAAGAAATCCTTCCACCCAAGTCGAAGACAAGAGAACTTCCAGCCCAAGTGGACAAAGAAGAAGATTACTCGAAAGCCGCAGAGAAGATCCAGCCCAAGTCGAAGACAAGAGAAGTTCTATCTAAGTCGACGAAGAAGAAGAAATACAACTCAAGTCGAAGAGAAGAATCAACTGCGAATGATCGATAGAAATTAGTGTCGAACTAAACCACACTCCGACATACACAATTCTAAAAGTAGGCAATTCGAAATCTTTAGGGTTGTGTGATAGAAAGCTTGTGCCATAGTCCACAGAGCGGGTCGGGAAATGAGAACAATTTTGTTTTTATGTAACGGACATTAGATATAAAAGGTTGTTACCCTTTTTTTTTTTATCAGTAATTTTTTGTCTCGTGAGTTTTTTTTTTCTTTTACTTGTGTTTTGCCACCCCCGTCGGACTCAACTTGTATCGGCCCCAATCCCTGCTGGTCCCGTCTGTCTAAGATCTAAACACAGCGTGGGTAGACAGACCGGAGATCAGTACAGTTGCTTTAGTGACCAGGTATTGGAAGCGAGTCGGGAAAGGCGAGGCTGGTGATCATCTAACCAAGGGGTTGGAGCGGCACGCTTGGACCCAGGAGGAGCGACCAGGAGGAGCGACGTCACCGTTGGCGCCGTAACCAAAGGATTCGACCCTGGGCCAGGTGTGTAACCGTCACAGAAAGAAAAAAGAAAGAAAGAAAGAAGTGAAAAAGTCCATGCTTAGAATACTGCTGTCACATAGGGCCCGGTACTCCTGCTATTTACCTTGAGCTCCTTACGATCCAAAGAAGTATCGGCAATATTATTGGACCTTATCTGGCAACTTAGCTCCAATCATTTCTCCAGCGCCGTAAGCTTGCCTCCCTGTGGCTTTTCTATAAATACTTTCATGGTAATTGTTTGAAAAAGCTTTTCGCTATGGCACCTAGACTTTTCGAATTTAATGGCAGTACTAAACTGGGATGGAGATCTCAGTTGAGCTGGCTAGATGTAGCCGTAAGTTCTATGCTAACAGTTTCTTCTCTAACAATCCTCGCTTGTGGAACTCCCTTTCGATTCTATATTTCCAACCAAGTTTAATTTGCAAAAATTTAAATGCATTGTCAATCGCTATCCACTGTCCTCCTGATTCCTCTTTTCTCTTCCCGCTCATTATTAATGTTTCTCATTCCTAATTCTTCCACGGCCTGTAATCCCTTGTGTTTTAGTGGCTTTACTCTCTTGCATGGGGTGATACCGATTAAAAAAAAATAAGATGAGGCTAAAGATTGCGGTGTTAGCAAAGCACATGCAAACAGGCGTTTTGTACTTGAGCAGATTGTGCCAAAAATATTTAAGTCTGGAAGTTTTTGCGTTCAATGTTCTTTTCTCTGCCAGTCTTAGTTTTCTCTTTGTTTCAGTCTGCTTTTAATTTTACCACCTGTCTACTGCCTACTCCCCCCCTCCTCCTCCTCTTCTTTGGCTGCGTTCCTTTGGTATGTTATATATTACTTATTCATGGTTGCTTTTTATTAATTCTATCTTTGTTCGTTCTTTCCTTCTTTCTCTTATTCACGCCTTCTTTTTTTTATTAAGTCATCTTTCTTTCTTTCTCTCTATATTTTTTCTCTTTTAGTCATCACTTGTTTTTTATCATCTTTTCTTTCTTTCTTTCTTTCTTTCTTTTCTTCTTTCTTTCTTTCTTTCTTTCAACCCTTATCCTTTCTATCTTTCTCTATTTTTATTTTTACTCACCTTTCTTTCCTTCTTTCTTTCTTTCTTTCTTTCTTTCTTTCTTTTATTAATTCATATTTTCTTTTTACCCCTCTTTCTTTATTCAGACATCTTTTTCCCAGTCATCATTTCACTCTTTCTTTTTTCTTCCTTTCTTTCTTCCAGTCATTCGTTTTCTTTTTTCTTTCTTTTATATTTCTTTTTCTTTCTTTCTTTTTCTTTCTTTCTTTCTTTGTTGAATTGTTCTGCCGAGAAACTGACTCGAGCATCATTTGAATCAAACTATTTCAGACTTTCAAACCACAAAGGCGGTATTCCCTCTTAGAATTTGCGCCCATGATCTTTCTTCTTCGCCTTACAGCTATACGTAAATCGGATTTCTTACTTTAAGCGTTATATTTACTCGATACACTGGTTTAAATAGACATACTTGTTTTTTAAACAGTGTAGATTTACGTCTAACAGCTTGTGCATTCGAGAGTCTTCCAGCAGGCTCTGAAAATGTGTCTCCGTTATAGGGAGAGCCACCATTAAGCCCAGCCTCCTTTTAGACATGTCAATCACAATTTAACAATTTACGTCCGTGCATTCAAGAGTATTCATTTTTTAAAGTGTGTTTTCCTGAAGGTTTCAAAACTACGTCTCCCTTGTCTTCTGTGTCTTTTCCTTTCTTCAGATTCCCTCTGTTATTTTTATTGCTTTTTCTACAAAACCGTTCTCCATCTCAGTTTTGTATACGCAAATTCTCTCTCTCTCTCTCTTTCTCTCTCTCTCCATATATAAATTATCTCTCTCTATATACAAATTCTGTCTCTCTCTTTCTCTCTCTCCATATATATATATATATATAATATATATATATATATATATATAAATTCTATCTATATATATACAAATTCTCTCTCTCTTTCTCTCTCTCTCTCTATATATATATATATATATATATTTAGATACATATATATATATATATATATATAAATTCTCTCTATATATACAAATTCTGTCTCTCTCTTTTCTCTCTCCATATATATATATAAATATATATATATACAAATTCTTTCTTTCTTTCTCTCCATATATATATATATATATATATATATATATATATATATATATATATATATATATACGCAAATTCTATATCTACCCTCTTCGTTATAAATTTTGTCTTCCTCATACTTTCTTTTTCCTTCTTTTTCATTGCTCCACTTCGTCTATCTTTAATAATGCCATCCCTATATCTGCATCTTTTATATGGTAATGTCAATAAAAGCCGTTTCCTTATAAGGAAACATTAGGCATTCATTGAACGATCAGCCAGTGCCGAGCCGCCAGTTCTGAAATTTATAAAATTCTTTTCTTAAAACAATTTTTCAGGAAAATAGTTTTCTCAAGTCGGCTGTTATAGTTCTCTCCAGTATTGATGGAAGTTTTCTTTCTTGCCGTTTGTGTGGAGTAGTGTGGAATGTCAGCATTTAGCTTATGTCATTATTCTCGCTTCGAGTTACATGTGCTATCCATTTTAGTTGTTGCTGCTGTTGGAAATTCACAAGTGAAGTCGTTTGGGTTATTTGCCACAGTACTTCATCTGTGATTGTCTGGCGTTATAGTTCACGAGGTTCAAGAAAGACTGGCCCTGACTGACACGCTTCAATCATTCAAAACTATTTTTAGCCAGTAATCTTCTTTTTTACAAAATCATTTCACCCTAAGCAAGGCGGGAATGTCGCTAGTACAGAGCGAGTTACAGAGAGTGAAAGTGAAAAAGAAGACAGTATAGGGAAGATTGAGGAAAGGACAAAAGATGAACGGGATTCAAGAAGATAGAAGATGGCGGTTAACAATGCATTTAAAGTTCTGAAGCCACTCTTCTTTA